ATAAGTTAAATATGTAGGAAAAAAAATTCATTAAATGTGTTTATCTACGTCAGTGAGTTTGCAAGCTCTTAACTCACGCATTTTGAGTGAGTTAAGAGCTTCTTAACTCACGCATTTTCTTTACCGCACTCCTTGTTTAGATGACTACCAAAGAGAAAAAAATATTTTGTAAAACATTTAATTTGCACTAAATACCTACTAAATACAAATAAACTATTCTATTGATAATAATTATAAAAACATGAAAACTTATTTGTTATAAATGTTAGTGATACAGTTTGAACAATCTTTCAAGTAAATGCCTGATGAAGCATATATATTAATTTTAATAGATATCATACGTACGTATCATTGAATATAAAGCCCTTAGAGACGAAGGTTTATAAGTCGAATAAATTGGAAAAATATGTTACGGGTACCTTTTCATTACCATAGTTGTGTACTTTTTTTTCGGTACACTATTAAATATCTCAAAAACCCAAGATTCCGGGTGTTCCGGTGAACCGGGTGTTCCATAAGAAAAAATATGACTTTGGTATGGATTTTAGTTCCGAAATAAACTGTATATTTCAAAATAATTTTAAATTGTGCACATTGCCTTCCCACATATTCCCATAAAAAAATTGTTTCTACGTATTTCCGTTTTCGTATAATCAGCCGAGGCAAATGAGGTGAGCCACCCTGTATATTATTTTTTTAAAAATATAAAGCTGATCAACGTGGAATGTTGCTCTTGCCGCCATTCTCAAAAATATATGTTAATTTAAGAAAACTAAGAAAGGTATATCAGCACCAACCGAATTATGTACTATTAACTAGTTTTGTAAAACAGTAAATAACCTCTGTAATAATATATAACTATACTCTATCAAAAACAACAATAGGAATCAAACATTATATTAATATGCATCTAAAATACTTTTATTTATTTTTTAAAAGCATTCGCTGGTCGCATCCAGAAAACATTTTCAAACCACGTTATTTTCATTCATGCCACGAAAATTTAGCACCAACGCATTAGTAGTATTTTTACAAATCCACACCCACCACTACGAAAACTTTCACTGACTTTAAAATATCCCTTTCATACTTCAAAAATTATATTTCAGAAACGGCAGAATAAAAAGAAAGAAAAACTGGCGTTATCCTCTTCATAAAAGAAACTTTTGCAACTCGGCACGGAATATTAATAATCAATGACTAGGAGAGATATTTTTTCACTGCTTTCAGTTTTCACGCTGAAACAGTTCTTTTCTTTGGAAAGTGACAAATCTTGAGTTATATCCTGCTCTTTTAAAACACTACGAATATAAAATGAAAGTTTTGTTTTGGAAAACTTTTAAATAGATGTGTCAGTCACTATTAAATATATCTGTATTCTTTTTTTGTGGACCTAATCAGTTAAATTTAATTTCGTCTACAGGATTTATAGGGCATGTAAAATTCAAACTTTTTTACTGACAATAAGATGGGATACTTTGTATTATAAAAATCCGAGGAAAACTTTTAGTTTTCTAAATAAATTCTACCAAAGGAGCCAGAGAAGCTTTCGACAGAAGACGTCAACTCTCACTATTATGTATATTTTCGTTAAACATACTTTATTTTTAAAAATAACTTTATTATAGTTAATTTTAAGTAACAATGGACATTATGTTTACATAAAAAAATATACGAACTTAATCATATTTTGGTTGAAACTTTTTGTAAAACACTTGGATATTAAAAAAATAAACGTTACAAAAATATTATATTTTGCGACGCAATTGACAATATAAAAAAGTCATTTCAACGCCTAGGCATAAAAGTAAAGGAGTTTAAGTCCAAATACAAAATAGTATATTGTTTTATTAGGAGTAAAAATGACACTTTTTGTGAGGAGGCTGTACGTTGTGCGTTTGAAAAGGCGACATTACAGGCGGGCCACAAAAGGTAATTTATACTCCGAATATAGAACATGCTATTTTTTTCAAACGCCATAAATAATTTTTTAAACAATTTCAAACGTTCCTAATTATATAAAAATATTTAAAAGTCAAACCGTGTATGTAATTATATATCGAGAAACTATAGACACGCTAGTTGAATTTGAAATTTTATGTCAGTTTAATAATACATTTTCGTACTTTTGTGCTTAAGCGTAAAAGTGTTTCACTTTTATGCCTAGGCGTTAAAATGACGTTTTCATATTTTCAATTAAAAGAAGATTTATTTTAGTATATGTAGTATCAAGGATACTATAGAGATAAGGATAGTTCGATTCCTATCTTCCTGCACTGTCAGTTTTTTTACGTCATCTACTGACCGAGTTGAAGTTGGCGCTAAAGATTTTAGACAGTGACAGTTATTTTTGCATTTGACGGACGAGCGCACAGTGCGTTGGAAGATAAATTTAGCGGGACAAAAGCGTTTGGTTAGAAATAAGCCAAAAAATGTGTACTGATAAGAATAAATAGTAGACATTCCAATTGATAAAAAATGCATGAATATTCTTTGTATTTCGATACATTTTTATCAACCAAATTTGGTCGTTTTCTGCTCAGCAAGGCAGAGATCATACGAAAACAAAATATTTACAAATGCTTATACATTTTATTAGAAAGCCAAATTATGTTGAAGATTGCCAAAGGTATGTACTTTTCTACTGTATGTATATTATTTGTTAAAATCCTTCGTGCCTTTGTTCTGCAGATATCAAACTTACACTTTTTTTTCAAATATCGATATATTGAATGATGTAGATCTTTTGAGTTACCAATAGTTACCAACACAGGTAGTCGCAGTCACAGGGAGTTCAAGCTTAACAGGTGAATGCCCAAAAAGATTCATTTCAATCGGATAGTATAAAAACAAAACAACTCCATCAAAAGGCACTGAGTTTAAAAAATTGTCTTAGATACTTAATATATGAATTTACAATTACCGAGTGTTAAAATTAAAATTAAAATATCTATCTTATTTATTATTTTCAAAATAAAATATATTTTTTTAAAATAAATTATAGAGGGTGTCACAAGATTAAAAATTAATTAAAAAAAACTGCTAAAGAGTTTTTTGATATCATAATTTTATGTATTTGGCAATAGTTTACAATACGGTTTTTGTGTGTCATGTACGAATAATATCATAGTTTTATTATCTTGTATTTATTTATTAATAAATTGTTAATAAAGAAATAAATTTAACCATATAGTTGCTATATATTAGACCATTTGCTACGTTCTTAGATTTCCCTACGCTCTTAGAAGTCCCAAACATTGCTCTTGAGATTTTGTCCCGCTAGAATAACCATCCGACGCACTGTGGAGCGCTGCGCTGGTCAGTGCGTGATGTAGCATTCCACGGCGACTACGACAGCGGCGATTTGACGCGATCGAACAGTTCTTTAGAATATATACAGTCCTTGATGTAGTATAACTTATTGAGCCATAGGCGAGGCTAGGTTAGGTTGTTGGAGTTTGGGATCATATTTGAACAATAGGCACTTATTTAGTGAAAGATGAGTAGAGATGAAAATCGAAATATGTTTTCAATAAATCTTTATAAAACCCCAATTACTTTGTGAAGACTGAAATTGCAGAATTAACTTCAAATTTATCTGATCAAAACAGAACTGTAAATGTAAATAAATACCTATTTTGTTCAGCATTTTAAACTAAAAACTTAATAACAGAGAAAGGATTTACAACGTAAACAATAAACGTGATTTTCATTAGACAGTTTAGTAAACTTTATATTGTACGTAACAATAAGCAGTTTACTGGTCCGTTAAATCCAGAACCTCGCTATTAAAAGTGTCAGCTGTTTTCGGTTTATTATGTGGAAACTTTTATATATTAGGTCGTCAGACTCTAAATGCAAACCAATATGCTATATTATACAGGGTGAGTCTTAAATAAGTGAAAATATTTTCAGGACTGGTAGATCTCGATAAAAGAAACATTTATTTTCTCTTTCTCTAGTCCATATATTCCTCTATGAATTTATCTTTCTGCAATTTTTAGTCGGTTTTCATTTTGTGTCGTTTAGAATAATCGTAGGGCAAAATTAATGCATAATTCCTTCTGCTTGATCACTGATAAATTATACCGAAAAAATATTCTTAGATATATGGGAGGTACAAGAGTGTCAGAAGCGTGGAAGACAATAAGGAACCTTAGAAGAGACGAAAAGCAAAACAGTAACCTAGAACTTATAAGCATGGAAAAGTGGGAAGACCATTACAAACAGTTACTGACAGAAAACAGGATAGAATTCAAACTAGAAGTGCCAGATTTGAAAAACGCAAAAGATATAGATGTAAATGAAATAAGTGTAAACGAGATAAAGAAACCATTGATGAACTCAAAAAATGGAAAAGCTGCGGGGCCGGGAAACATTTCCATTGAGCTAATAAAGCAGGGACCCGATATATTATTGGAAATACTAGCTGATATCTTCAACAGATGCCTGATAAAAAACGAAAACATTCCTGAAGACTGGAACCTGGCGTACATCAGCTCTATCTTTAAGAAAGGAGATAAAAAAAGATGTAGCAACTACAGAGGCATTATTTGACAAGCTCATTGGGAAGGTTGTATGGCAGGATATTAAAAGAGAGAGTAGAAGAGAGCTTTTGAAGAAATAGAAGAACAAGGTGGTTTCAGCGCTGGGCGTTCTTGTAGACAGATAACATATTTGTGTTACAACAAATAATTGAAAAAAGGAGAGCTCGAAATTTGGACACGCATCTGGTATTTATAGATTTAGAGAAAGCCTATGACACGGTGCCTTTGAAGAAATTATTTGAAATCTTGGTTGAGGCAAATGTGAGTAAAACATATATTAATGCAATCTGGAATATGTACAAAAATTCAAAAAGTATGATCAGACAGGGGAAGTTCCTATCGGAATCCTTCCTGACATCTAAAGGACTTAGACAGGGGTGCAGTTTATCACCTACCTTATTTAAAATATATATACAGGAGGCATTGAAAAACTGGAGAAGGAAGAGTAGAGCTATGGGAATAGAGATTGACAACCACTGTCTATCGACCTTGTTCTTTGCAGACGACCAAGTTATTGTTGCAGGTTGTGAGGAGGATGCCGACTATATGTTGAGGAAACTTGATGAAGAATACGACAGATGGGGACTCAATATCAACCTCACAAAAACCGAATACCTGAAAGTAGGAGAAGAACAAACTGAAGATCCTAAACTACACATACATGAAATTAAAAGATGTAGCGAATATAAATATTTAGGAAGTATTATATCTGAAGAAGGGAACTCCAAGAAAGATATACTAGTAGAGTTCAACAAGGTAAGAAAGTAATCGGTCTTTTAAACCCTCTCCTGTGGTCAAATAAAACATCCATCCAAACAAAGATAAGGATTTACAAAGCAATTGTAGATCAAAATAAAAAACAAACTTATGCATTTGACAGACGACGCAAGCGTTTTAACTATGTTAGCATCATCAGCAGATGATTATAAACTCTAATAACTAATATATAATTAAAAAACTATCAGTTTATAATCATCTGCTGATCATGCTAACATGGTTAGCGAAACGCGCGTCCAGTGTAAAAGTAAAAGTGTTTTGGTGTATTGTGGTGATTTAGTGTTTTTATTTTGCTGTGTAACACCAAAGGTTTCAACCCTCAACTGTAATTGTAGATCCAGTTTTAACATACGGTGCCGAATGCTGGCAATTTACAGCAAAAGAAAGAAGGATGGTCGAGTCAGTGGAGATGGACTTTCTCAGAAGAGCATGTCGCATATCAAGGATGGAACACATTAGAAGTGAGGAGATCAGGCAAAGAACAAGGTGAATATATACTAGCACCGACAACATCGAATCGAGACAGCTACTATGGTATGGACACGTAAAAAGAATGGGAGGGGAAAGATGGCCAAAAAGGGCAATGGAGTATCGTCCCCAAAGCAGAATGAAAAGAGGGAGACCTACAACTACGTGGTTAGATGGAGTAGACCAGTACATGAGAGACAGAGCTATTAACCAGGAAGAATAGCAAAATCGAGCAATATGGAGGTCGAAATGCGGGATGCGGCAGAAGCTGTAGGACCCCCGCTTTATATATATATATATATATATATATATATATAGCATATATAGCATATATATATATATATATATATATATATATATATATAATATATATATATATATATATATATATATATATATATATATATATTCTTATGCAAGCCATTGCAGAAACAAGAAAAGCGCATTGACATACACATTTCCCATAGATATGTGACAACGGCTATAAAGTATTTTTTTTTCTTTATAGCAGTTGTTTCCCCAGAGAAAGAAAATAATAGAGATCAAAAGAGTGAAAGAGGGCAGTACCATAAAACATTTTTTATTTATCATACGTGAGACAAAATTTGTCTAGATTTATTTTGTGATCGTTCGATTTTTGGCTCATTGATGTCAACTCAATGACTCACTGCGGACCGGTAGAGCAATATTAGGCTTTATTTATCGATCAGGCCACAGTTTATTGATTTACAAGCATTAAAATAATGTAGATGCTGCGCAAAACAATTTATCTATTATTTTATTAATTATTTACTAGTAATCTACTCCATAAAGAAGAATTACTTTAACTTTATCTATTAGACTTTATATTCTATACACTAATAATGATTTATTGAGTAATGTAATGATGATACATGTAATGATGATTTATTGAGTAATCATCGTAAATAGTAAGCATAATTTACTAATATTCAATTATGATGTAAATATAATTTATACAACAAACAATATGTATACCGTTCTCTTTATGTTTTATCACTAATAAGTGATAGTTGGAATTGCACCGAAGCAATATTTCATATGCAACCATTAAAGCGCATTGAAATACATAGTTCCCACAGGAATGCGACAGCAGCAATATAGAAAGAAAAATATTTTCTCAGAGAATAAAAAAACAAGGCTCAAAGAGAGAAAGAGAACAGTAATACAAAATATTTTATTATTTACCCAACGCGAGCTAAAATCACCGTATTGAAATTAAAAAATAAAATGTAAAGCATTACATGTCAGGACAAAAAACATTTTCTGACAAAGAATCTAGTGGGCTGCTGTAATTTTTTTAGGAAAAAATCTAGTCGGCCGCTGTTACTTTTTAGGATGTTCCTAATATTATTTTATTTGACATTACTCTACTGCAATACGTTATTATCTAGATGATTATTATTATCGTTATTATCACTAGATTCTTAATCTAAAAATGTTTTTTGTCCTGACATGTAATGCTTTACATTTTATTTTTTAATTTCTAATCGGTGAGCTTTATCAAAAAAACACAAGAGGTAAAAAAGTTACTAAACAAACTAAACTATCCAAATTAAAGCATTTGCATGTGTTTGATAAAATTTTTCTTTAAATTTTGTTAACAAGAATGATATGGGTAGTTTATTTCAACCCCTTCCACTCATTTTAAAAAAGTAAAAAAATTACCTGAAAGTGTGTTTTCATAACAGTAATGCTTCCATAAAATTTCATTAGTCTATCTCTTTTCGTTTTCAAGATAAAAAATAAAAACATTATTTTTCCGCCATTTTTGTACCGCGATATCTCCCTAATGGTTGACTTTTGACCCAACGTTTATAAAGCAAACTACCCTTTATTTTGAACAAGGAATCACCCGCTAAAGTTTTTCGCATTTGCTTTGAAACACCCTGTATATTTATTAAATAAAAATATGATACGCATCAGTAATGTTAAATGACAATGTGTTTCAGTTTCTTACAGCAAATAATATGCATAAGATGCTCTTTATATGTTTACTGAAAATAAACGTAAGTTGTCATTAAACCAACGCAGTGTTTTATATGCAAGCACCCAGTATATTAACAAGAAGAGCGCAATGACACACATATTCGCATCAGAATGCGACAACGGCCATATAGAAAGAAAGAATATTTTTTCCAGAGAGAAAAAAAAGAAGAGATTGAAACAGAGAAAGGGAACAGTGTCATAAAACATTTTATTATTTACCCAACGCGAGCTAAAATCACCGTGTACTATCCAGAAAGGGCCGTTCTAATGAGATTTATCTGCTGATGGTCGGATTTTTGGCTTTTTGATGACGTGATTTATCTACTGGCCGATGGACCAACATTAAGCTAGATCGATCAGGATACATATATACGGGTTTATAGATTTATAAGTATTAAAGGGAAACAAGTTTGTTTTTAAGGTTACTTATAGAAAAATTTAGAGAAAAACTTTGGCCACCTTATTTTAATGATAATACAGGGTTGTTCACCACATACGACACGGAGTATTGTAGCTAAACGATTAGATTTTTACAAATTGTAAGTTTGGGGTTCGTTGAAGGACTATTAGAGCTACAATTTAAAAATAATTTTACAAGATACAGAGTGTCCCAAATAAGTAAAAAATATCATAGTTGTATTTTTTAAATGGAACACCCTGTATTTTATTCTATTTTTGGATTCTACGATTGAAATAAAGGTAAATTTGATTAAGGTTTATCACACTTAAACCTTACCGCTTTTGAAATATTTTCAATTTTAAGAAATTGCAGTAAAAATTTTAAGGCTTCATTTCTCCAAGGGTATCAAAGTTTTTAATACTAAATATTTACTGAAGATTATTTATTGATCAGATATTGTGTTGCAATAATAAAAATTTTACTGCCTTATACAGAGTGTCCAAAAATTTATATTAAATAATTACTAGCTTTAAACAGCAATAACGTGTTTAAGTTAAATAGAACACCCTGTATATTTCACGTGAATCATGTGCACAATTTTATTGTCTATCAAATTTTATTATACCATTTTTTACCTATCTCTGCAACTTTTCGTAGAAAATGCATTTTCTTATAATTTAGACCTCATTTATATATATATATACCTATGGAATATTGACATTTCAGATTTTTTTTAAGCAACATATATGCACAAAATGTACAGGTGGTAAATATTGCAAGCCTATTGGTATACCAAAAAAACTATTTAAATCTTTATAAAAGAGTATACGAATTAAATATACCATCATTATTTCCGACCAAAAATTAGTTAATTACATACTTTTAAATTGTTTTAATTAATACAGTATTCTAAATAAATGTGGATTTGGCTCAGAAATCAATATAATAATAAATTATGAAAATAAACGTCTCTGTTTTTATAAATCAGCATTCGTCAAAAAATGAAATAAAATTTATAAGGCGATACTTTTTACCACACTGTCTAATACACACACAAAATTCAGTTTTTTAGTATTTGGAGCAATTATTATTAATCAACATAAACAGTCAATTAATGTAGTCTGAATACTGGGATCATATTAATTGGTCCTTTTTAATAAAAATATTTAAACAGTTTTTTTAATTTTTTTTATGAAATAAGCGAGCTATATCGACAATATCTTTAAAAATAATCTAAAATGTCAATATTCCATGGGTATAGTGATAAATGAGGTCTAAATTATAAGAAAATGCATTTTCTACGAAAACTTGAAGAGATAGGTAAAAAATGGTATAATACAATTTGATAGACAATTACATTGTGCATCTGATTCACGCAAAATATATAAGGTGTTCCATTTAAATTGAACAAGCTATTGCCGTTTAAAGCTAGTAATTATTTAATATACATTTTTGGACACTCTGTATAAGGTAGTAAATTTTTTATTATTGCAACACAATATCTGGTCAATAGATAATCTTCAGTAAATATTTAGTATTAAAAACTTTGATACCCTTGGAGAAATGAAGCCTTAAAAATTTTTTACTGCAATTTCATAAAACTGAAAATATTTCAAAAACGGTGAGGTTTAAGTATGATGAACCTTAATCAAATTTACCTTTATTTTAATCGTAGAATCTAAAAATAGAATAATATACAGGGAGTTCCATTTAAAAAAATACAACTATAATATTTTTTACTTAGTTGGGACACTCTGTATCTTGTAAACATATTTTTAAATTGTAGCTCTAATAATCCTTCAACGAACCCAAAACTTACAATTTGTAAAAATCTAATCGTTTAGCTACAATACTCCGTGTCGTATGTGGTGAACAACCCTGTATACATTCATATGCAAAAAAACGCAACGGAGAAATTTTTGGTCAAATTTAGTCTTATATTTTTATATTTTTAGTTCTATTTTCATGAATTTTTTAGCAAGCTGTATATATTAACTTTAATACGTAAACTCAGCTTTTTACAAACTTTAGTATTGGGTATATTAATCGAGGGCTTGTTTATTACCCTAACTTTAAAACACCCTGTGCAATAATTTCGTGTGTAAATTTTCCTAAAATATAATTTTACGGTTAGGACCATGTTTCCTGAGCATTTTGTTTTTTGGATCATGTCAATACATACCATGATTAATTTTTAAGAGCGAAATGACCTTGCCACCAACAATTTGCAATTTTTCCAATTTCCATTTCTTTTTCAATATGACAAGGCGGCTTTGGCGATTATTGCGAACTATATACCATTATGAACTGTTCGTCATGTTCGACATTTGGGCAATGCTTGGCAGGAGGGTTAGAGGTCGCAAAACGCAATCAGTTTTATTAAATAAACTTCGCTTGGTCCCTAAAGAAGAATGGGAAAACATAACGCAATATGATATATTTATGCAGCTTCAATGACATTATTAACGGACGTTATAACAGCCAAGGAAGGCAATACAATGTATTAGGGTATTTGTACATTTTTTTTTTCTGTTTGTATACTTGATTATTATATTATTAGTTCTGTTATCGTTATTAATGTTTATTAAAATCACGACTGTTTCGTTAGATCACGA